CGGAGCCAACTAGGACCAACCGACCGGGGACGCCCGCTCAGTGAGGACTAGGAAACGGATGGAGGAAGTAAGGCAGTGCACTCAAGTCAAACCACAAAAATCGAGGACCATACCCTATACACCTATAGGACAGTACCGACAAGACATGTCAGAAGAGTGCCCTGCAACCGTCCAGGCATGTCAGAACAGTGTTGTGGGCGCCGACATTTTGCCCTACAGTGTTGTGGGCACCCGAAAAACTGCCATACCGGACGAGCACGGTAAAACCCCTTTGCATGCCTCTGGGCATCAATAGTGTGGCAGGCACCGACATCTGCCATACCAGAAGAAGATGACGCAACCTCCCATATGCATCTAACATCTACAGTGTTATGGGCGCCTACAATCATCTTGTACCCAACGGTGTGGGCAACAAGACTTAGCATACGTACACGCTCTCTCTCTCCCATGTAAGGCCATCCCCTTCATCTATAAAAGGGGATGCGCTCTCTCCCAACAGATAGGTCGCTTAGTTCATTCTCACACGACAACAGAACCACTAGGTTCAAGCTTCGAGCACACGCTCGAACACTTAGCACATAGCAAAGCTCCCGTCACTCTCGGCCCTTCAGACCAGAGTCCGACTGGACCTCTTGTACCCCCTATCTTTCTCCCTTCCGTTTGTAACCCCACAGCAAACTTCGAGCACCTAGGCTCAAGAATAAAGTCACCGACCGACTCAGACTGGACGTAGGGCACGTTGCTTGAACTAGTATAAACCCTGTGTCATTGAGTGCTAGGCCACCTCCGATCACAACGTACAGCAAAACTATAAATATTTACATGTTGGTCACTTTCTGCACCGACATAGGGTGTATCCGTAGGTAAACAATGTATAAGCACCACGCTTACACAATGTCGACCACTCACCCTGTTCGTCAACAAGAATGAGCGCTTTGCGATCCTATGACTTGATTGATAAGATCCATCCATGACTTGAGACTATCCTTCCTCTTTCCCTTGATTTCTAGTAGGAGGCAAAATGTGTTTTCAAAGACATTCTTCTCTAGGTGCATGCCATCGATGGCATGGGCGCTTCCAGCTCGTTCTGGTACGACAGGTGCTTGAAGAAAATTGACTTCTTGAGAGGAAAGGCGCCTGCCTCCATCTTGTCCTACTTTCTCTTCCTCATCTTATTCCCCACTTTTTTGTTCATTCCAAAGATGACCTCCATGTCCTTCACCATGAGAAACACTCATTTCCTGTAGCTCTCTAGCGCTGGTGGGATAGATTCAGGCTTATCCTTGTTGTTAAAGTACATACTTATTCATCAGACTAGAGCGATACCTGTGTCGTTGAGGCGGCGTTGCAACTCCGCAAAAGAACTTTGCATCTTTAGTGTCATCCAAACCTATCACCACCACCATCACCGTGGCCGTCCGCGTCTTCGACAAATTCATCCAACATGAAAAAATCATCCTCATCAACGCTGTGACCGGTTGATGAGGTTCCACCATGATCCTCTATCATGGCAGATTAATGGTGTGCCTACACCGTTGTTCTTCCAGGTGCAACACTCGCATCTCTTTTGCCATAAAACATCCAAACCGTGTGGCCATGGACAAAACCTCACTTGATATTTGACTTCACAACCATTTAGCATCCATACATGCTTGTTCTTGTAGCGGGAACAAAACGATGCACTTCCGATTCTCACTCAAAGCATGCTTCCGAGCACTAACAACAAACTTCGTCACTTGTTCTTTGAAAGGTGGTGTTAGCCTTGATATGTTATACATCCATTATGACCTTTTCATGATGGTAATAACCTTGTAGCAGGAAAATTATATATATTATAGATGCATCAATATATGAATCATCTTATATACTGAGATGGTGCATGCATAACTTGTATATCTTCTCTTTCTCTCACACAAACAAAAATATGCATAAACGCCACTAATTATGGAGCTAATTACTCTATGTACACTTGCATACTTGACATACATACTACCCTAGATGGTCTAGTATGATCATATACTCCATCTATGTACACTTCTCCAGGCCATATACACTCACAATCTAGAGATATACACATGGGAGTAAGTACGCCCTAGGAGTAGGAAATAATTTCCCTATATATATATCTTCTCTTTCTCTCACAGAAACAAAAATATGCATGCATGACACAAATAAAACCAACATGCTGTACCTATACCACCATGCATGAACTAGCACCATAAATATCTTCTCATTTCTCTCTTGTTCCACCATAGATCTAGATCTAGACCATCCCAAAAGCATCAAAAACTTCGAAAAGAGCACAAAAAAGGATATGAGAGCATAGCAACCTCCAATGGCCACCTCCCTCAAAGAAAACAAGATCCAAACCTCCCCCTTCAAAAATGGAGTTTTTTCGCAGTTCACCCTGTCAAAATAAATGGGAGAGCTCGTGGAGGAAGATGAAATGGTTGGGATGCTGTATTTATAGCATTTTATTAATGGAGGCAGGCATCCTAAGACGAATAGAGGTGGGCGTGAGTTGTCTTAAGGGGACTGCCTCCGCTAACGACCCATTAGTGGAGGCGGACGCCTGCCTCTGTTAAGGGGACCGTCTCCGCTAAGGGCACTGTAGCATGTTGCAAGACCCATCTAGATCGAGATTTAGGAAGAGTCTAGAAGCTAGGTTTGCTTGTAAGTCAAGTCAAGTCGAGTCCTCCCTATAAATATAAAGGAAGATGTATCTTTTGGAATTAAGCAAGAATAGTTTGGGGTAAAACCCTCTACCTCTCTCCCTCTCTTCTCCTGCCGCTGCCGCCCCCTGCCTCACAGCGCCTCCCTGCCCTACCGCCGCCAGCAGCAGCAGCAGGCATCGGCACCTGCCACCACCACCACCCATGCCGCCCGCCATTCCACCGCCTGATCCAGCCGACGTGGCCGCACCGGTCACCATTAGCCAGGCCGGCTGTAGCTTGCTGCTGCCGCCGTTCCCTCCCTCTCTCTAGGGCGCGATCAGCACTAGGGCTGCCGCTCCTCCCCTATAATCCCCCAATCCTACCTCTAAATCAAGGGGAAGTCACCCCCTAGATCGGACGTGTGACAGCGGTCTTCTTAAAGTGTTCACCACTATTAATGGAGCATTAACGGAGGTGATCTCCTTAATATGACCTCCTCCATTAATGGTTAATAAAGGCGGGTGTTTCTGTCTGGGCGCGCCCTCCATTAACAGAAGTGGCATCCTTTTGTGCTCGCCTCTATTAATCCTAGGGGTCAATCTCTCAAAATCTTTTTAGTAGTAGTGAGTGATGCCCATTTCACAAATCACAAAATAAAAAAGGAAAAAACACTGCATGCCGGCCAGGGGAGATTTGTGGGATGGGGAGAGAGAGATGGAGAGGATAAGGAACAAAAAGAGAGTGCAGTGGGAGGGGGAGGCATTCGCGGATGTGAAAGGCTAGGGACTTTAATGCATTGAAATAAAATTTTGGGTCTATAGACATGTGTATCACTATTGGTTGGTAATATATCCCGGCAGTTATAAGTTATTTATCAGTGCTGGATGGTTTTAAAATCCGGCAGTAAGAGGCTTGTTGATTAGGAACCGACAGTAATACTCAATATTATGACCGGTTTTAAAATATCCAGCAGCGATGGACCATCAGGAATTGTGTATTTTGTAGTATTAGTTTAGATGATAGGCTCTACCCTAGGCCCTGTAATTTTGCAATCATAATTTGTCGAACACCTACACCACATGTCAACAGATTGGACTGCATAAAGGGCCACAGGGGCGCATAGGCGAGAACGGACTCACCAGAGTCATGACTGATCAAGTAGGAAGATACGCCCACACGTTCTAGGGCAATCAGTCCCTCGGCGCGGCATGCTGGTGTCTCTCTTCCGCCTTGGTGATGGTTATGACGTTTGGGCTTGACCCTAGAGACTAGAGTCATGGCAATCTCATCTCTCTTGACGTTTCGCCTAGCTTGAGCACTGGAGTCGCTGCGCCTAAGCTATATGTACGTACGCATCCTGGGGGCCCTTTGATTTCTGCGGCCGGGGGCGTTTGATCACCATGCTCCCACTAACTGAAAGTAAACCATCTGTGGCTGCCACACACTAGCAAAGAAAATTGAGCACCACCAGACTCAAACAACTGATGGTAAGAACCATTGTCTGTGGTAGTCTTCCTTACAGTAGTTTATAAAAGAGAACACAGATGGCAAAGCGTCACTAGTAAGAAACATGTTCTTGCCGCACATCTTGATTTTAGAAAACCGTAGAAGAAGGAAGGCTAGCAGGACCACGACGATGGGTGGACGCGTTCCTTATAGATACAAGAAATAGAAAGGGAAGGTTCAGGGGAGACACGGTCATACCTTCCTTGCCGGAGGCAAGGGGAGTCCCGGCGTCGGCCGTGTCCCTGAAGAGAAGCACGACGACGTCACCGTCCATGGCCCGCGTGAATGCCCTGGTCTCGCTGTGGGTGCACCGAGCAAGTAGTAGAGAGGACAACTCTCAACGAGTTGGTGGCACAGCTGACCTCCTCGACGTCCTCCACCTCGCGCCACGGGATTTGACGTTATGCAATACCATTTGGCATGAAGTAGCTTCCTTATTATATATTAGATCATCTCGAGCAAATAACTTTTAGTCAATTTTGATAAAATTTAAATGTGCAAAGGTGAGGTTTTCGTTCTTTTGATGTGAGTCTGCATAATTTATTCAAACTCATATGTATCTTTTCTGCAAATCTAGTAGTGAACTTATGTGTCTACTTGTTGGTGAGCTGAATTGGGTTGGATTGAAACTATAAAATTTCAGGATGAGTTGGGGAATTTGGGGTGGATAGAAGACTTAATTTGCTATGGGTTTGGGTCGGGTAGGGGGTGGGTTTCAACCCATTATATCAGAGCTACTGACTAGCATTGGTGCTGTGCATTGGCATTGCACTTGTCACCCAGTGAATGGTGGTAGTAGGAACTAATTAACTAAATTACTGTGCTGCAGTGGAATTCACCATGGGAACTGCGTCTGACCTGGAGATGTTGGTCGTGGAGCAGGTCCTGATCGGGCCGAGAACTCATTCTCCAGCAACAAATCAGGAAGTGCCAGGGGAGGTAAAATATTTGGAGCGATGATTGGCAAATGGCGACGACTAGTTGTGCGCCAAACATTAATGTCATTTATTGTCATTTTCCATCTTCTTTTAGTAACTAAATCACATACTACAGGTCAAAGGTCGTTCACTGAATTCATACACGTACACCATCGGAGATCAAAGGTCGTTCACTGAATTCATAAAGGGTCTACGTGACATCCTCGCTGATCACCAAGACCATGAGGATATCTATGATCGCCACGTGTACCCAAATATCCGAAAACACGTACTGCTCCCGAAGCCGCGTGCTGAGCAACAGGTAATTCGCATCAAGCTGCAAGTGGTGGAGGGCGAGGAATCGTCGTCATCGGCAACCCTACTCATGAGGGATGACAACGTGGATGTGATCGGCTTCATCAACCAGTCTGGAGTCTGTTACGATTTTGCTGACCGAAACAGAAGCGGGCGCCGGATGCTCCCTCCAAAATACAAGTCAGTACTTCTAGGCTGGGGCAACAGCTACAAAAATATACTAGGCGTCAGTAAGGAGGAGGAAGTCATGGATAGACTCAGGTCCGCAAACTTGGGCAAGACCTTCGCGACACAAGCCGTTGGTTTGCTGTCGCGCTTCGACCCAAATGTAGTGGCGGATGTTTACAGGCTGGCCGTTGTGGGCCTGATGTTCATGGTCTCCGAGTCCGCAAGGATGAATCCTGTGCGCGACGCCATTGCACGTGGCTGGGACACCGGGACAGAATTCACCAAGCAATTGATGACAGATTATGTGTGGAAATATGTAGAGATGTCAAGGCGTCTGAGGCATTGGAAGAGAGGAAACTATGCGGAACGGCACCCCGACTCGGAGCTAGGTGACATCTACCTCGTGCTCAACGGTAATCCCTTTTGTTTGAAGTGTGCATTCAATCCTTTAAAGTATGACCACTTTCAAAATATTATTGCATTTTTTTATGATATGATATATCATTGCCACACCGTTGATCCCTGTTTTTTTTTGTATTTCTTGTAAAAAGTACTACGCACACACTAGTCCATCAATTTGTGCTAAGCATAGACTAAAATGGTTTAGGAACATAAGCATTATTAATTCAACAATAAATTTAAGAACCACATTGTTCGCACACGATAAATTTAAGAACCGACCTTGATACATGGTTAAGATTGATCCTTAAAGGCGGTGGAGCACCGACGTACAAGCGGGGGCTGACCAGCGGACCCCATGGGCCGGCCGGCCGGCCCCACCCAGCCTCTTCTCGGCCCGATATTTGATGATCTGTCCTGGATGGTGGATTGGAGGTCCTCTAAGTCGGTTTCGTCGCTGATGATCGTGATTTTCTCTGACGGATAGGTCCACTTTGCTTGTTTTCTGATTAAATCCTCCTGCAGAAACAGATTCACCAACACTTGTGGAATTTATTAGTTTAAACACCTATGCATATGTTGGTGATCATATTTATTCAGTTTTTCATGTTATATTGATGGTTTATTTTGAGGGTTAACGTCCGTCAACAGTTTGCAATCCTTATCACTAGCTTGTTTTACTTGTACATACTTGTGCTAGTGTTGTTGTTCTTGTGTAGCTAAGTAGCCTTGCTTAGTTTGTATAACTAAGTAGTTGTTGCTCTCTAGTTTAGCTTGTGTTGCTTTACTAGTTGAGTAGTGCTAGTGTGGCTTAGGCTTTGTGCGCTTTGCTAACTAGTATGAGTAGGAGCTCTTGGTGTGTTTTGTTGTACTAGTTGCTTAGATTTGTATGACCTTGCCAACGAGACTTGTGTAGGTGAGCTCTCTCTAGCTCGGCACCTTAGTTGCTAAATTAGGATCTGTGATTTGTAAGGTGGTTGTGAAAATAGATAGAGGAGTGTAGTCTTGGCTAGACCGATTAGTCTATTTCCATATTTGTTTCGGTTAGTCGACGCATAATTAGTTTTAGAAAAGACTATTCACTCCCTCTAGTCGGCTAATTGATCCTATCACCCTTAAAGTAGTTCATCAGCATGCCAAAGGAAGGATCCGTGGTCTTAAGATCGAGAAGAAGACACCAATACAGACACACTAGGCATAACAGGTCAATAATCCGTAGGTTTCTTAAGACTAGCATTGTATTGCATACTATGAAACGTATTTATCATAGCCGCATCACAATCCGCCATCATTTTATTGAGTTGTTCCATGGTAACAACAGAAGATGTATTAATTACGGGTGGTGTTACCTTGGGTTCAGCAGTGGTTGAATGAGCAACCTGATTGACTACCTTGAATTGTTTTGCCACCCCTCCTCGCCGATCTAGCGAACAAATTGCAAGAGCTGCTTGTAGGTTAGTAGCGTTCTACTCCTCCACCATCTTACGGAGATCCTCTGGTAGTTGATCAATCGTCGTAGGATGAATGATATTGTCGGGGTTGAATGGATCTGTGGGATCACCCTCCTTCTTGTTGTGTTCTTCAGACACGTTGCTTGTAGATTGATCTTCTTTTCCCAGCGGAGTCACCAAAAAGTGTGTTGACGTCGATTTGGATCACACACCAGCAAAGATTAGCTTGTCCAAGGTCGCACACGACCTATCACGCAACAAGGACGTCCGAGATCAGTAAGACCGACTAGCCGGTTGGTAGAGCCGATTCGATGCCCGTTCTTCTCCTGAAAAGCTCAAGAACACGTCTCGGGAAGATCCGTCAGGGAGGGGCATGTTGAGGTTGTCCTAAGGTCGGCAAGGGCCACCTAGAACGCCACCGAATCTCGTTGAGAGACGCGCCGAACAGCAGGGGTTGGAAAAGCTAGGGTAAATAAAAAAGGGTAATAGATGTTTTTTTGATTGATTGGAAGTTGCATCCCTCAACTGGCCATGATCCTCCAATATATAGAGAGGGAGGTAGCCTTATCCTATTAAGAAACATATCCAAGACATAATTTACAATTTTTCCATGTCAAAACATGAGCTAGGACGAAGCGGTCTCAGACCAGGCAAACTGGCCTAGCCAGTATTCGCGGGGTTGAACGGCCCTTGCCAGACAGGATCAGAGAAGCCAAACAGACCCCAAAATCATCCTTTCTTCATTTGAACTCCAAATTTGATGATTCAAATGTATTTCTTGACCGTCTTGACGTCGGGAACTTCATGTTGGAGCCCATTGCACGTGTGCTAACATTTTTGCTGTCAACGAAACATAGTTTGAGGCATATATTTAATATGAAAATCGATATACTCATAAGTTCTCGCATTCATAATGATATAGTTTATGTTAAAAAAAGGTCGTTTTGAGACTTTTTTCTAAAACGACAAATGTAAGTAATTTTGATGCATATTTCGAAGTTAATTTAGTTTACTTTTAACAACGTCGAAAGTGAGAAATAATTTATTGATATCTCTGATGAGACGATACAAATTAAGTTCAAAACTATAACTTGGTCTATGCGTGCGTGCGTGCATGTACATGTATATATTGGGTTATTTTTCTCATGTGTTAATTTAATTATTGTTGCAGTACATGCTGAACTGGTGTATACCATCGGAGATGAAATTTCATTCATTTCATTCATGACGGATCTACGTCGCAAACTCGCCGAGCATCCAGACAGTGAGGATATCTTGGGCAGCCACAAAGACCCAAATCTCTCCAAAACCGGAGATCATCCAGTGCTGGCCAAGCAGCGTGCTGATGAACAACCGGCGAGGTGGATTCACGTCACGCTGCAAGCAGTGGAGGGAGAGGAAACGTCGTGGACAACCCTATTCATGAGGGATGACAACTTGTACGTCCTTGGTTTCATGAATCAGCAAGGAGATTCGTTCCAGCTGCTCGACGACAACCGGAATGCATCCACCAATATGGTACTCCCAATTACTAATGGACGCGATCCCAAACTCTTAAGATGGGGCGTTAGTTACATGTCCATGCTGGGAGCCAAAAGTAATGATCATGCCGTGCACAAACTGGAGGCGGCTCATTTGGGCCATGATTTTGCGAAGAACGCCGTACGCGTGCTGTCGAGCCACCCAAATCCGGTGGCTGGTATCGATCTGAGGCCCGGGGTGGCACTGGCGGGCCTGATCGTCATGGTCTGCGAGTCGGCAAGGATGAATCCTCCCCACGACTCCTTTTCACGTGGGTGGAGCACCGGCACGGGATTCGCCAAGCAATTGATGATTGAGAACTTCTGGGAACATGGGAAAATGTCGAGCAAGCTAATGGCATGGAAGACCCGAGGGTACGCCAGCAATGTGCGCACACAGAATTGGCAACCGCACCCCATTATGGAGCTACAAACCATACACCTCGTGCTCCGCACCCATACACCTGATCAGGCTAAACAGGAAGAAAACAAGAAGAGCCAACACAGCAAGCCCGACAACGCTGGCAATGATGGTGATTATTATTCTAATAAGCCCGGCAACAACGGCGGAGGTGGCGGCTCTCCTAGGCAAAGCAGAGGGGGCCACAACACCGGCGGAGGTGATGACACTGGCAGCAGTGGTGGTGGCTATGCTAGCCAACCTAGAGAGGCTGGTGGTGCCGGTAGTAGTGGTGGCTCTGCTAGCCAACCTGCTGGGGAGGCCGGTGACACTAGCCCTAGCCGAGGCAACAGCGGTAGCCAACCCGGGGAGCTTGACGTACGAAGCCAGGGCAACGGTCGACCCCGGGTGGAGCTGTTGGCCATACATGCTGATCTTCATGTCAAAGGCACGGAAATCATCGTCTTTGACGGCAGACGAGGTCAGATCATCTATAGGAAGGAGGAAGGAGAAGAGGAGACAGAACAGGTATACATATATTATGTCTTACTAATTTGTCAAACTTAGGGCCTGTTTGGATCCTCTTCTCTAAACTTTAGAGCTCTAAAAATATTACAATATTTTAGCTCATTTTATAGGTCTAATGTGAGGTGGCTGAAGTTTAGAGCTAACTTTAGACCACCTGTTTGGAGACTTTAGCTCTAAAGTTTAGAGCAGTGGATCCAAACAGGCCCTTATATTCCCATAATCGCTACAATTTTAGGAGACATAATCATTAGGTAGTCACTAGTCCATCAACCTTTGCTTTGGCAGAGCTAGAATCATAGAAGATATAAGCATTACTTATTATTTAATACCTCTAACTAATAAAAAATACTTAAAATAAATTGTATGTTTTTCTTTTTATTTATTTTCTAGCACAATAGGTATAAAAGATGCTTTCTAGATTATATCTAGTTATCATAAACTTATCAATTACTTTTTTGCAAGTAACTGATCTATATGTTTTTTCACCCATATTCACAGTTTTCTCTTTTCATGGCACCTCTTTATATTTTGATTTTTCAAATTTGATCTTATTAGTTGCCTGAAATTTTTATACTCAAACTAAGGTGAAACTCTTGTGCTTATTGTATTTTTTATTAAATTTTTCATTGTTTTTATTAAAAATAAGAAATCTTTAGATGTTCATATTTACTAGTAATACCAACAACTAATAAAAAAAATTATATTAATCTGCGCATTTTGTTTCTCTTTGTTCATTTTTCTAACAAAATACAGATATATAGATGAAAAACTTATTAATTACTTATCTATTTATTTTTATCTATATCTATAGTTTTCCCTCAATCTATGCATGGCACCTTTGTTCATCTTCACTAGTTGATTTTTTTTTAAATTATGGTGGGTTTTTTCGCCGCCCATATCTCATGACGTCATGAATCGATTAAGATTATGATTTTCAAATTTTATCATATTAGCTGATACAACTTTTTATAATTAAGTTATTAAGTTCGAACTCTTGTGCTTAATGTATCTTTTTTAAATATCCTTTTGTTCAAGATTGATGGTAGAACTTGAAATGAAATCTAGAATGGGATAGCGGTGCTAAACTCAAGAGGATATTAATATCGGGGCATTATTATCATTGTTTACTCCAAACAAATCTCAAACACCATATGGTCATAGACACTATTTCATAGTGCTTCTTGTGAGTATTTGTATGCAGTAGTAAGATGATGCCTAGAGTATAGAAAATTAAAGGCAATTTGTTTTTGTTCATTGCGAAAATTTTGCAGAATTTATCTTTTCTTTCTTTGTGTATCTTGGGAGGATTAGAAATAGTAAGATGTCTACTATATGAATCTTTTTTACAACCATGCCATATTAATCAAGCAGTGCATGCATGTAGGGAATGGTCGAGTTGGTTCTGACTGGACCCTACAAAGGCATCTCAGCTTATGGGTGCTTCGCCATTAAAATTAACATCCCACCTGCCACTGCCAATAGCAGCAGTGGCGATGCCGGTGGTCTCATCCAATGGGAATGGGACTGTTATGACCCCAAGTACGCCGCCCAAGTCGACCAACTACCCGTGAGCCATACCATCTGCGCTCCGGACATGCGCCCCGAGGTAGCTGAGGTCACCTACGTTGTGATGTCAGATGCCCTGGAGGCCACAGTGCAGGTCAGGCTGCGACTCAAAGATGGGCATAACACTGCTGGCATTGGTGGTGAGATCACTGCACGTATCGACGGCTTTGAAGACAAATACAGGAGCGTCCTCTTCAGGTGTGCAAAGGGGACGCGTCAGTGTTTCTCCCCTACCGATGACGACTCGTGGTTCCTTCTTGAGCTGGCGAGGAATGTGGTTGCAGTGCCATGCGGCAGTGCGCTTCAAATAGAGGTGAACCTCCAGATTGCAGCTGACGATGGCAAGAAAGTTGAATTGAATAATGTTCTTCTCCGCTTCGCCAATGGAATTAGTTCCAGTAAAACTGACGACGGCAATGAAGTGGAAGTGGAAGTGGAAGTCACCTGGTACCCGGAGGTAAACATTATATTGAAGACATCTTTTTTATCATTTCTTATTCTTTTAACGAATACTAATAATCTTGTTGTCTACTGGATGATTATTATATACTACTAATCCACTGCAGATCGCACGACCAATAAGTCACCCTCCGGAGCAAATAATAACCAGCAAAGAGGCTCATCTGGAGAAATCTATTACTGCTCCGTCGTCGTTAGAACAAATCATCAGTGGTACACAGGAGGTAAATTAAAGGAGGACTAGCTACTATAGTGCTTGAAGACATTTGTTACTCCCTCCATCCCAAATTATAAGTCATTCCAAGAATCTTGGAGAGTCAAAGTATCTCAAGTTTAACCAAAATACAAAGATTTATTACATCAAATAGGTATACTATGAAAATATATTTAATAAAGAATCTAATGATACTTAGTTGGTATCATAAATGCTATTATCTTATTATATAAATTTGGTCAAACTTGAGATGTTTTGACTCTCCAAAATTCTTGGAATGACTTATAATTTGGAACGGAGGGAGTATCACTTTCCTTCTTTTAACTAAACTCTCAGGTAATGCATGCAGGCCAAAATGGTTTCAGGGCATCGAACTGTAGAGTACACCATTGGAGACGAACTGTCGTTCACTGAATTTATAATGGCTCTCCGTGGCATCCTCGCTGACCATCCAAACCGCGAGGATATCTTTGATCACCACCACAGTTCAATTCTCTCCTCCACCAGAGAACACCCAGTGCTCGCCAAGCAACGTGCTGAACAGCCGGCGAGGTGGATTCATGTCAAGCTGCAAGCAGTGAAGGGAGAGCAAACGATGTCGACAACCCTAATCATGCGGGACGACAACTTGTATTTTTGTGGCTTCATGAACCAGCAAGGAGATTCATTTGAGCTCATCGAGAACCCGGATAGATCTGCCGATATACTCCCAGTTGATGAATACAATCCCCAACACCTAAGCTGGGGTGTCGGTTACAGATCCTTACTGGACTTCGACACTAAAGGTGGTCTTGTGAGAATACTGGCGCACGTGAATCCGGGCCAGGACTTCGCCATGGATGCCGTGCACATGCTGTCGTGCTTCCCAGCTTGGGTGGACGATCGTATTCGTATGAAGTCACCCAGGTTGGCACTAGCGGGGCTGATCCTCATCGTCTGCGAGTCTGCAAGGATGAATCCAATCTACAACTTCTTTAGAAGCTCGTGGAGCAGGAGCAGGGAAGATTACACGGTATTTTCCGACAGGGACTTAACCTGGGATCTGATGCGTGGTGATGTGTTGAATCAATATGGGAGGATGTCACGCCAGCTGCTGGCATGGAAGAGTAGAAAATATCCCAACCCGCACCCCTTTTCACTGCTACGAGACATTTACCTCGTGCTCAACCACCGTTTGGATCCACCTCATCATGAGGCTGACGGTGCCTGGCACCCACCTCGGGTGGAGCTGTTGGCCATGCATGCGGACCTTGGGGTCCTTGGCACAACCGTAATAGTCTTCGATGGGAAACGAGGCCATATCATCTATAGGAAGCAGGAACAAGGAGAAAAGGTACATGTATTAGATCATGTCTATTAACTAACCCCTGGTATCCATAATCTATATGAATCTTTTTCGCATGAAAGCAATAATAGATTAGATTATTAATGAAGCAATGTGCATGGTTGTAGGGAAAAATGGTTGATTTGGTGCTCACGGGACCCTGCACAAGCATCTCGGCATACGGGTGCTTTGCCATCAAAATTGACATCCCAGGACCCTACACAAGCACTGGCGATGGCGGTGGTGGATCCATCAAATGGGAATGGGACTGCTATGACCCAGAGTACGCCAAGGAAGTTGACAAAGGACCCATGACTCGGACCATAAGCTCTTCAGGCCCCGGCCGCAACGTTGAGATCACCTATGCGGTGATGTCCAACGCCCTGGAGGCCATAGTGCAGGTGAAGCTGCGGATGAAAGATGGGAACAGCCCTTGTAGCGTCTACGGTGTTATTACCGCTAGCATTGGTGATTTCAAAGGCCAGAGCATCCTCTTCAGGCGTACAAAGGAGACGGCACAGCATCTCTCTCCAATGATGGACTCGCCGCAGGGCGTCCTGTATCAGCTGGTGCGGTCCCTTGAGCTGGCCAGGAACGTGGTTGCGGTGCCATGTGGTCAACGGCTTCACATAGGGGTGGACCTGAGCATTGAAGCTTCCAAGAACCAAGGGGCTAGTATTAACCCGCGTTTCAATAATATTATTCTCACCTTCGACAACCGCAGTAGCTGGTCGAGTCAACGTCGTGAAGTGGACGGGTATGAAGTTGAAGTGAACGTCGCCTGGTACCCTTGTGGTGAATATGTCCCGGGACCATGGAAGGTAAACATTGAAAATATGACTGAGCACTCGTTGCTCAACACATTTCTTATGCTTTCCTTTTGTTTTGTTTTGTTTTTCGCTAATCATCAGATATGTCATATGTAGTCTTTTGCTTGATCACTACTACATATGTACTGCAGATGGATAGGATGTGGCAACCTGACATATCCTACATGGTTGGGAATGATGCAGAAGGATTCAGTACATTCATCATTGAGCTGCGTAGATTGGTGACCGACCACCCACGCTGCAGGGATCTCGTGGCTGATCATCCAGATCTCTCATCCACAAGTAACAACAAAGTGCTCAAATACTTAACGTATTCTGACACTCGCCGCATCCAACCAGAAAGCTTGTTTCACATCAAACTGGAAGCGGAAGCGGAGGAGGGCGTGGAAAAAACGTCATCGATAATCTTAGTCATGCGGTGTGACAACTTGAAAGTAATAGGCTTCATCAACATGCAGGATCGAGCAGCCTGCTGCTACAATCCTGGCTCTCGTAGGGGGCTCCCAGAAGAATATCGTTCAAGACTTCTACAGTGGTGGGAGTGCTACGGAAGGGACAGGGAGCAAATACTGGGCCCCGCGAGGCTGGGCAAGACCTTCATGGCGGAAGCCGTGCGCGAGCTATCGCGCTTCACAGGTAGGGGGCCGAGTGAGGAAGCCAAGCGGTCACTGGTGGGCCTGATGATCATGGTCTGCGATTCAGCGAGGATGGAACCTGTCCGCGAAGCCATGGCAGGTGGCTGGGAGAACGGGACGGAACTTACCGAGCAACTGAACAATTACGACAGCCGGAACTTGTGGAAAGTAATATCAGGAGCACTGCTGGACTGGAGGGATCACGCCTACCAAGGATGGCCTCAAAACAGCACGCTAGAATCGATCGGAATCATGAGCCCAGAAGATGCACTAAAACTTGTCCCCCTCGTGTTCAATGATCCGGATCGGATATGGGCTTTTCCCTTTTTTAATCTTATTTAGTTTAGAAATAAATAAATAAATAAATAAATAAATAATGTCGTCCAGACATGATGCGTGTGATCATTGGAGCTAGTATTTGTCATTTGATCTTGTGAACCAGACAGTACCGGCCGGTATCAAGAAATGTAATCGTTAATTTGGAATCACAATAATACTGCTTGCCATCTATGTCCTAGCTAGCTAGCTAGCAGTTGAAATCCTGCTCATGTCATTCCTTAGGTACCAACTGCTGTTCGCTTGTTAGTTTCAGCCAGCCCAAACCAGCCAGCCAACAGTGTTTTCCTCTCACAATAAGCCAGCACCAGCTAACCCAAACCAGCTCAGAAACCAACCAGCGAACAGGCCGGCTAGCTGAAGTTTGCAACGCGAGGTTTACTTTGTCTTCCCAGTTGTGCCTTTGGGTTCCATTTGTTTATATTACCTGAAACAGCAAGCCTTAGGACCTATTTGGATGCTTTGAAAAGAAAAAAAATCATTTGTGACTGTCATACAGTTGTCAATTATATTTTCTGCTTTCAGTTTTCAGGTAGATTATATAAAATCCTTCGCTGGTCCACGAACTTGACTCGGTGGGTAAGGATAGGGGTGAAACGATCTATGGGATCACCTCTAGTCCAACTTAATAAACTATATATTTGTGACTGTCTTCAGTTGAAGAAGAAGAGATCCATTTGGAGCACCATCCTCATCTTTATGGATAGGGATGAACACAGAACCATATTTTCCCACCCGTATTCTGTTTTCTTAGGAAAAATCCGAATACAGAATGGAACCAGGAAAACAGAACCGGCGCACCAGGAACAGCTTAATAAAAACGGGACAGGAAAGAGTTGATGCAGTCTTCTGACCGTTTTAATAATGATGAAAAAAACGGGACTGAAAACAATTGAAGCATTCTCCTGACAATTTTGCCAGTACCCGTGTTCTATATTTATACAGGAATTCACGCCAGCATTTTCGTTCTTGTTAGCCGCTTCCAGCTTTGATACTGCTACGCTAGATCACCTGCGTCCTGAGATATATACTACGCAAGCAGTATTACTGTGGTGGTACTGAAAAAAAAAACTTGCGTGTCCGATAAAAAAAAACTTGTGCATGGAAGCTGCATGCGCTCGGCAGCACGGCAACCGCCAGTAGCTTCGTGTGGGTTGTGCCATGGTGTTTACACCAAAATTCGGCAGCACGGCAACCGCTCAGGGCTCGATAGCTCCTAAAATCATGTCAGCAGGGGATCAATTGCGTGCAGACTGAAAACAGCTGATTCGGATGCAGCACTAGGATCGGCTTTTTTTAAATAGCGCCAGCAGATAACGACAGAGGCTACGATCGGCACTGGGATAAGACATGCTGGACTCTAAAAAAGGGAAAAATTAGAGTCCAAGTTATCTTAAATTAGGAATGTTTTCATTTTATGCCAAAGATTATAACAAATCGTGCTCGAGTAGGATTCATGTTTAGACTCCGGGTATAAATATCAAACCCCGGCTATTGTAAAGGACATAATCAATCAAATACAAGTCAATTACTTTTTTCGGATCCGGCCACCCCTTAGGAGTAGGAGTAGAGTAGATCTCGGCGAGTTCTTCAGCGAGTACGGCCGCATCGATCCGGTTAACCTCCACTGCTTGTCTGTAAGTACCGTCATGGTTTATACCTCTGTTCGTATGGCTGCATCGATCCGGTCGACCCCCACTGCGACTCTGGTATAGGCTAGTTATCGACTCTTGTCTAATTCAAGTATGGCCCGCGTGATTCTGCCTCACACCCCACTGCTTGAATTAGATTAAGGTCAAGTTATCGGCTCTACCTTAGAATGACAGTCTTTGTTAGATTCATTAAGTTACTGATATTTCTTATTGCTTTTATTGTTTATCTAATTACAGCAATATCACTCTGCCCGATTGAGATTGATTTGGATCGGCCTTATATCTTGTTTAACCCATCGTTTGCTAATTTAAAACTGATCTAATTTGCATCTTAAGCGATGAGTTATGTTTTTATCGGCTGTTTTGCATCAATCTTAATCGTGCATAGCGTGCGGTTAAGGCATGTTCGATCTTGAGTAGATCTATTAGTTAACGAAAACCGTTCCATGGCCCGTTATCATGGCCTGTGGGATTCTGCCTTTCACCCCACTGTTAGCACCATGGAGTGGGGATCGTTAGTTGGTAGATCTGTTCCTAAGAAGGCATGACCTTAACTGTGCGCTATACCTGAATCGGCTGTTTAGCCGATATCAAACGCTTTCACGAATAGTTCACATTACGAGATCGTTGAAGTAGAGATAAGTTGAAAGATATGTTAGCCCCATGATCTTATTATTGTATTACGTCCTGCATGATTCTGCCTCATGCCCCACTGATATTAGTAATGAGTTAGGGTCGTCGAGTCTATTGTTATTTCTACGGCCTGTATGATTCTGCCTCATGCCCCACTAGTCATAGCGATAGATGAGATCTAATATGTTCATTAGATTTATCTTTATCAAATGGTTAAGTGGTGTTGAATTGTTTCTTTATAGAAAAAGGGGTTCGGTTACTTATAATCATTGGCTCAGTATAAATCAATCATCGTCAACATCTTATTGCCATTGATTAATATCTGCTCAAATAATATTTATCCTGAATGATAACCGATTCTTCTTACACAACCCCATGAGCTTTAACCAATTTATTCTTATGAATATGCTGGAATCGACTATTTAGTCGATCTCCTCTCATATCGGCTCTCAGAGCCGCACATTCGGGACTGTCTGGCAACACTGGCACGTTCCGCCCTTAATTACTGATAAACTTTCTCTCCTTATCAATTGCAGGGTCAAATTGACTGGCACGTATCGGGAGGATCACGCAGGATCGACCACCCCTGCGTTGAAGCTAGGCGGATCTGCTCCATCAAGCGGACCCTTCCAGCTTGTTGCGTGTGTCCTCGGCATGGAGACAGAAATTCTGTGTCGACGCACGTTTCTAGCACGCCCAGTGGGACCCCACAATCGTCATGGTGGCTCACAACAACGACGACATCCTTATGGTACATTATGAAGATCTACCTGATAGAGATAAAGATGTCATCGGCAAAGCTACAGAAGAATTTCAGAAGAAGTGTTTGTTGTCCTACACCAAAACACGTGACAACACAATTGTTCAGAAATTTCCACTACCAAGAGTTCTACTGCACGGACAGACAGATACAGTCGAAGCTGAGGACAGGCGTTTCTTTACGGATGTCATAGACAAATCTATTCGTGATGCCATATCAAGGCGTAATGAAGCCTTCGTGAACTCATTTCACAATGCCATGAAAGAGGCGATTCATGGGATTCTAGTTGGTCAGGTTGGACCGGCTTATTACAACATTCTAGATCTGTCGACCTAGGAAACCAATCAAGTCGGTACCAGCCATTAAGAAGCAGCACCAGTTGGTAGTGGTGATGTCCAGATAGTCTAGGGTTCATCTGAACAGACTCAAGGAACTACTGCAAATCAAACACAGTACAATCCTGGACCATCAGTACAGCATGTGCCACAGCCGATGGGGCAAAGTCAGAACCAGGTGATCAATTTTGGCACATCAGGCTACATACCGTCGTCGGCTCAAAAGATAGCACCATCAATTCAAATGATCCATAGAGATATAGATCCTTATGTCTATAATCAGAGACTTCAAGCAGCAAGCCAGCAGAGGACTCAACAGATCGAGATTCCACAAGGGTATCACTATGGCACAGATTATAATACCCTCCACATGATGCCAAATCCAGGATATCAAGGCACACAAGATTTCAATCCAAAGATGGGTCAGCAAGTATAGAGAAATTTAAAACCGCAAGTTGATGAATTGCTGCTGAAGGTGACCGAGATGATGAAGAGTCAATTTGGTCTCAAGCCAAAAGGGTTGGCCTTTTCGTACAAACACCCATATCCAGAATGGTATGATTTGGTCGCTCTTCCCACAAATTACAGGCTCCCAGAGTTCGCTAAGTTCACTGGTCAAGACAGTACGAGCACAATAGAGCATGTCAGTCGGTATCTAACACAATTGGGTGAAGCATCAGTTGAGGATGCCCATCGAGTTCGTTTCTTCTCCTTGTCCCTGTCAGGGCCAGCCTTCACTTGGTTTTCATCATTGCCAGTCAATTCCATTGCCGATTGGGCTGACCTAGAGAAGAAGTTCCATACATATTTTTACACTAAGACTGGAGAAAAGAAGATTACCGATCTGACAACTATAAGACAGAAGACTAATGAATTGGGCACTTAATTTCTTCAGAGGTTCCAAGAAACCAGGAACTTGTGCTTCTCCTTAAACTTGGCCGACGATCAACTAGTTGCTTTAGCTGTTCAAGGAATGTTGCCGATATGGAAAGAAAAGATACTGGGACAAGAGTTTGACAACTTGGGTCAATTGGCTCAACAAGTAACAGCGCTCAATAGCCAATTCCTGAGTATGCGTAGAGATACCCGATTCTAGAAGAGAACCACAGTAGCCGAAGCTTATGATCCATACTCAGTCGATGACGGCTACGAAGAAGAAGAAGAAGAGGTTGCTGCAGCTGAATGGAATTGGGGTAAGAAGACGGTAATAGTGCCAAATCCTTGGGGAAAAGGAATCAAGGAGAGCTATGACTTCGACGTCACAAAATCAGACAAGCTATTTGATTTCTTACTTGAGAAGGGCCAGATCAGGTTGCGGGATAATCATGTTATGTTGCCCCCTAAACAGTTGAAGAATAAGAAGTTCTACAAGTTCCATAATGCCACTTCTCATTCCACTAATGAATGCAGAATTTTCGGCAGCACATATAGAGGGCTATTCAGCAGGGGAGGCTCAAATTTGATACGCCTCAGAAGATGAAGGTTGATGATAATCCTTTCCTAGGAGACCAAAATATGGTTGATGTTGGGCTATTCAAAGGAAAGACTAAGGTCCTAACATCGGCTAAATCAAGAAAAGCTAGAACAGTTGATCCCAAGATGTAAATATCGGCTGATGAATACAGA